CCACGTATAGTAATAAATCAATCCAGGTATGGTAAGGTCATAACTCAGGAAATTTTGAATATGGTAATTATATGGTAATAAATTTAAATTACCCCAAAGGCTATCAATCCATGTATGGTAAGGCCATAACTCGGGAAATATCAATTATGGTAATAAATTTAAATTACCACCAGGTATGGTAAGGCTATCCACGTATAATAATAAATCATATAGTAATAAATCATAATTAATCCACGTATAGTAATAAATCAATCCAGGTATGGTAAGGTCATAACTCAGGATATTTTGAATATGGTAATTATATGGTAATAAATTTAAATTACCCCAAAGGCTATCAATCCAAGTATGGTAAGGCCATAACTCGCGAAATATCGAATATGGTAATAAATTTAAATTACCACCAGGTATGGTAAGGCTATCGATCCAGGTATGGCACGCCCTCACCTGATCACCTATCACAATCTCCAGCCCCACGCACGCACCAAAGAACCCACTCGGCACCAAAAGCAGCTCCTCTCGATCACCTCGAGTAAACGCCGCCGCCGTCGTGCGATCATCCTAACACAAACGCCGTGGCCGCCTCCTTCCCACCTACGGCGTCCCACATCCATGGTGACGGCGCTCGCGTCCTACACTGACCCTCCGCCTCATATAGGTTGGTCGTTGATGGAGTAGGATGTGCCGCTGCGGTTTGGGGAGGTGAATCACGATCTGGTTGGGATCTCAGTGTGGACTCGTTCTCTGTGATGAAGGATGGCGCTGCCTCCCTGGCAAATGAGATCGGAGGAAGGGGCTCTACGTCGTGAATGTCGGCGAGGCAGCGGCCGAAGGCGAGCCTGACGGTGAGCACGGGTGTTCGTCCCATGAAATAGGCGGCCACGGAGGGCGGATCTGAGGCCACCCCAATCGCCGGTGGCCCTTCCTCCCATCGCTCATCGCCTCCATTCTCCCTCTCCTCTAAATCTTTGTTGCCCCTGCCTGATTCTGGCCGACGCCATCCGGCTCTCGCATCGACCACCACCAGCACGGCTGCGGACGAGGCGCAACCGTAGACGCCGCCGCCGCCATCCTCATCCACCTCCTCCACCATCCTTCCCAGCCGTCATCGGGGGCACCCGCCATCTGTGCTCTAGCCCACCCGCTCCCTCCTATCCCCTCCCCCTGCCTGCCAGCCCCGTAATCCATCGCACAGATGGCAGGTACTACAGCGACCTCCTCCCCAGCGGATCCGGCCTCCTCCGATGGAGATCCATCCTGGGCACCACCTTATTCTCATGCGTGCACGTCTATATCAACGTCTCATTCCACCTCACCTGAGCCTTTACCTTCCCACCTCTGCTTCAGATCCACATCACTTTGCAAGGTATGTGCTTGATTGTTCCGAACTGGATCGATGGATTGTGCAAGGTACTTTGGGTGTGGTCATTGACGGCAATTGTCACGCCATGCTACCATCGGAGGGGTCCCTCATCGATGATTAGGGTCTTCCGAACTGCACGAGCTCCATTGAGAAGGATGTTTTTAATTCTGGTTTTGCCTACATGCTTTCTGTGCCTGTATCTACTTAGCTAATGTCTTCTTATAGATAGTAGCTGCTGAAGTGGTGATCAAAGTTGTTCACTATAAGGAAACAACCATGATAACAAAAGTGTATATTCCCTGACCTTTGACCTGAAGTACTTTTTCATTAGAAACTTGCAACAGCCAGGCATTGAAATTAGCAACAGCTTCGTACGTACTGAACTAATTTGCAGCAACACGTACTGAACTAAGTTAGGTTATACTCATCGTTCCAACATGCTTAGTGATAACCACCTAGCAAGCTAATCAAACATGAAAAAATTGAAGTGCTACTGCTAATCGTACTATTCTGAATGTGAAAATCTATTTAATTGGCTCTTCTCTAATTGTACATTTGCATAAATCTCAGATCTTGCAAATTACAGTATAACCATAAAAGTCATGCTTTGACTCCTATAGGGCCTTTTGCACTTTAATATGACTAATAATTTGCCTTAATATCACAGATTGGATTACTACCTTTCTAAGTGAATGACATTCAAGAAGGTCATTAAATAAAACCAAGAAATCCTTCTGGTATTGGAGTGTAGGAAAGTTGAGACTATAAAACCAAAAGGTTATATTTACATTTATTAGAGAAGGTTCTTTACTTTTTATAGGAAAACACAAAATGTTGCGATGTAGAGTCTAGGTGGTGGGCCTCCTTGATCCACTTGATGGATGAGGGCGACTCCGGTCCTGGCACCCATAGTGCCAGTGATCCAAAAATCATAGGGCCTGGATATAGCTCTAGCAGACGTATGCGGCTTGCGCATCGAGCTTGGTCGTCTCGAGCATGGAGATAGGCGAGTTGTAGACCAAGAGCTGGTACAGAGATAGGCGAGTTGTAGACAAGAGCTGGTGGGCAGCAAGAAACGCATGCACACCAAAGAACAAATCTGAGTCACATGCCTACTTCTATTGGTTTCTACAAAGAGCGGCTAGCTTAGATCTTAGACCAGTCGGTCACTATCGAGGTCGCCAAGGTGATCTTACAGCACCGCCGTGGGGATTTCTCATGATTTTATGTAGGCAAGCCGCAAGCGGTGGTGGTGATTGGCTGGGTGGTGTCGCTGCTTTGGGAAGAGACGAAGTGATGGTAAAAGTAAGCAGGATCCGATGATTCTTCCGTGGGGATAGCCAAAGTCAAGATGTCGACTACAGACTCGTCGCAGACTTGCAGTGAACCTGGATGCGGCGAGCCTGATTTGTGGATCGATGGCGGGTCTTGACTTTGTTAGGCTGGGATTGGATGGTTGCGGAGGGTGGTGTGCTTGGTTGGGTTCCCATGGAAGAATGTGGCCTCCTCGTGGATCTGGTCATGCCCATCCTAGAGAACATTGTGTCCCTAGCTCCCTCGAGGAGCAAGGACAGTGCAAGCGGCAGCAGGGGGTAGGGGTAGATGTGGGGAGGGATGTCGGCGGCTGCTCGAGGTCATCATGATGAAACCCTTGACGTCCCATCTTTATCAATGGAAGTGGAAGAGCACGAAGTCGAGATTGGATAGGAGTTTGAGTTCTTTTTGGCACCGATCGGTTCCCCACTTTAGAGACGTATTTTTTTTGCGTGCGAGCAAACAGTGGGTTGATTCTAAAAGGGATAGACACTTTTCAACAGAAGTGCATGACGAACCAAAAATATGACCTCATTTTATTCGTTTGATAGATATCGTATTATTCGTTGTTGTTCGTTCGGTGAAATTTCCTAATATTTGATTGTTGTGTTTCTAATTAGAGCACCTCATAATCACCCAATATGAGGGGATGATAAATGAAAGATACTGATTATAAATTTTGAAGAGCCTGTGGCAACGCACGGGCGTTATACTAGTACTGTTGCAGTTTCTAAAATGATAAAAAAAATGATCGAGCAGGAGCAACCATCGAGCGGCAGCGCCCAGCCAGCGAGCGATCGGCCGAGCGAGCCGCGGCAGCCAGGCGCCAACGAGCGCTGCTGGGCCAGGCCCATGCTAGCGACACAGCAGGCGCTGGAATCACGCGCTCAAGGCGCCAAGGAGGAGGTATCCAAGAGACGGCCGGTTGCGTAGCGAGAGGTGTAACCGAGAGAGCAGTGGCAGAGAAGACGTACTACGTAACGATAACGGAGTGATCCATCGATGGATATGCGATCCATTGCTTGATATACTTCCTTCTTATCCACGAAATCATTTGTAATGTGTATGGTATTATATCTAAATAAATCAGCAAGTACGAGCAATGGATTTAGCAGGTTCATCCACGGGAAAGCCCCGTTTCTTCTGCAAGGAAGTACCTGCATTTTCCTTTCCCCGATACCTTAACAGACATTAATGATGATCAGGGCAGAGCAAACTAACCGAAGGATTCCAAGACACGTTACTACTCCTAGATTATTACTCTGCATGGAAGGTAAACCTAAAGGGAAAACGTGCACGTGGTACGGTCGCATGCACCTCCTGCTGGTGGACTCACGTACGTGCATGGCGATGGATGGGATCGGCCAGTTGCCGTCGGTTCGCTCGTCCATGTCCGTTACCCGCACACCGCGACCCACGTAAAACCGCGTCGTGCCCGTCGGGTGTCCGTATGACGCGGACGCGCACGCACGGTGCATGCGTCCGTGCACGTACCGCACGACCCCGGGCCCTCCGGTGGTTGCGCGCCTTCCAAAACACGAAGCCTCACCGGCTATATATACGCGGGAGCACCGCACGTCCACACCGCATCACCGCATCGCATCCCATCGCACGACGAGGGAGAGAAGCTAGGAGCGAACCAAGTGAAGGGAAGATGATCGCGTTGTGGGTTGCTGCCTGCAGCCTGCTGTCGTGGTGTTCGTCGCTCTCGGGTGAGTCGAGTAAATTGCAAGTTTATATATATATATTGCTGATGCTTGATTGCTAGCTCCGGATTGATCATTGTTTGATGCTGGCGCACTAGCTACTTTTATCCTACTGTTATGAACACTATTATGTTCTTCATTGTTCCTTATGCAGTTCTCTTGGCTATATCTTCCTATCCTTTTCGATTTTGCGTCTCCCTCTGCAGGAGCAAAAGGGTTATGTCTATTGAAAAACATGTAAACCAGTTTCGACGTAGCACCAAAACAGCATGCTTTTGCTTAGATAAATCGACTACGCACTTGCTTGGCTTATTTATTGCTTGCTGTTGGAGGTGGTTGATAATTCTATTCATTGTGCATTGGTTAGGATGTCTGGCGTAAATCCGTATAGGTCTCTTTGATTCATTGTCAATCTTCCGACATCAATGTTTTGTTTCAACTATATTTGGTAACATGTCTCTGGGGTTTATGAAAGTGGAACCCTAAAGTACAATGCACTTCTTAATTAAGGACAGTACTCTACTCTACTCCTTTCCGAACAAAGGTAACTCATTAAGGAATCAAAGGATCTACAGTGGAAAAAGGAAAGAAAGGGACGATCAATCCTATGCAGTTATGAGATGCACACATCGTGTATACATTTACTTAGTAAGTACGTGTGTGCTATAATTCCGCGCTTACAGTTACCGTTCATGTGTTCATCACGTGCAGGAGTCCAAGGAATTGGAGTCAACTATGGCATGATGGGCAGCAACCTCCCGTCCCCGGACAAGGTGGTGGCGCTGTACAAAGCCAACAACATCACCGACGTCCGCATCTTCCACCCGGACACCAACGTCCTCGAGGCCCTCCGCGGCTCAGGCCTCGGCGTCGTCCTCGGCACGCTCAACAGCGACCTCGCCCCGCTCGCCTCCGACGCCTCGTACGCCGCGTCATGGGTGCAGTCCTACGTCCAGCCCTTCGCCGGCGCCGTGAGCTTCCGCTACATCAACGCCGGCAACGAGGTCATCCCGGGGGAGTCCGCCGCTCTGGTGCTCCCCGCCATGCAGAACCTCGAGGCCGCGCTCCGGGCCGCGGGCCTCAGCGTGCCGGTCACAACGGCCATGGCCACGTCGGTACTCGGGACCTCGTACCCGCCGTCGCAAGGCGCGTTCTCAGAGGCGGCGCTGCCGACGGTCGGGCCGATCGTCTCCTTCCTGGCGTCGAGGGGCACGCCGCTGCTCGTGAACGTGTACCCGTACTTCGCCTACTCGGCGGAGCCGTCCTCGGTGCCGCTCGACTACGCGCTCCTGTCGTCGTCGGCCGCGGTGTCGGTGACCGACAACGGGGTGGAGTACGCCAACATGTTCGACGCCATCCTGGACGCGGTGTACGCGGCCGTGGAGAAAGCCGGGGGCGGGGAGAGCCTGGAGCTGGTGGTGTCGGAGACCGGGTGGCCGTCAGGCGGCGGCGGGTACGGCGCCAGCGTGGAGAACGCGGCGGCGTACATCAACAACCTGGTCCGGCACGTGGGGCGCGGCACGCCGCGGCGGCCCGGAAAGGCCGTGGAGACGTATATCTTCGCCATGTTCAACGAGAACCAGAAGCCGGAGGGGGTGGAGCAGTACTTCGGGATGTTCCAGCCGGACATGAGCCAGGTCTACCCCGTCGACTTCTCGGCGTCGTCGTAGAAGACGCCTGGCTACTGCATGGACCACGCATATGCATCGATCATCCATTAGTTAGGAAGTTATTGGGTAGGACCGATTCTGTTTATTTGAGCTTCTCGATCTCTCATTATCTCTCGAAAAGTACATACTTAGTATACCATTATTGCTTCAGACATGTTACCAAATATAGTTGAAACGAAACATTGATGATATATATGTTACCAAATATAGTACCTCATATCATACCTCATAAGTTCTCCATATATCGCGCATGGTGCTCTTGATGACGCTGTGGAGATCATGGCATGTCCGCAACAAAATCACGCATGACAAGAATCCACCCCTGACTGAAGCATCCCGTCGTTTCTTACAGCTTGACAGCTATGTCACATCTCTTTTTTGTATCCAACAACAGCCTACGCAGGATAGGAAGATGGTGATCTGTGATCCAGCTTGTCGTGTTGCTGGTCCGGCCACTCCCAGGTCGAACAAATGGACGCGGCAGCCCGGACGTCGGTGATTTGGGAGCTAAATGGGGTGCTGGCATGGTGCTGAGAGCATGTCAAACAGCCGCCCAACACGCGGCGGCTAAAAACTAGTTTGGAGCGCGTCCATTATCAGGTTTGGCGCGGCGTGCAGTGCTGGCTCCAGCTCCAGGCGTGCTAAAATGCAATGCGCGCTCTCGCACAAACACTTTGCATACATATTTTGTTCATAGAAAATGATACATAGTTCTCATGGCATAGATAAAAAATGATACAAAAATATTTTACATAGTTCATAGCATAGATAGATAAAAAACTACGGTGCAACTGGACCCTACTCCCAGTCGTCGTCATCATCATCATCATCATCCTCGGTGGTGTTGTCCGAGGTATCGAGCCAGATGTCAAATCTATCGATCGTGGAAGCGGCGAGGAGGCTGGGAAATGCGCGCGTGGCAGTGTGATGGAGCGCGTGGCGAGCGCCGCATTCTATAGGCGCGCGCGAAACGGCGCGCCAAATCTACCGTGCGACCGACAGCTTTCTCACCCGCGCGCGCAAACGTTTACTGCGCGTGCGTGTTTCCCGCCGCCATTGAAGCGCTCGAAAACTTGCCGCGCGCGCTAAATGGGCATTTTACCCCGCACGCGGGGCTGTTGGAGATGCTTTGAGAGATAGCACGGGCTTCATCATTTTTACATCTTGCCGACATCTCTTCACATGCAATAATGCTCTTACGGCCGAACTAGAAGCTTGCAGGGAGGGCTTGTCCCTTGCAATAGAGTAGAGCTCACAGCCGGTTATTCTAGAGTATGATAGTTCTGAAGCTGTAAGAGCATCTCTAACAGCCGCGTGAAAACAGCGGCGCGCCGTAAAATTGACTTTTTAGTGCGCGCGCAATCGATAAATGGGCTCCAGCGGACGCGCGATAGACGCGCGCGCGGCATATAGAGTACAACGTGCGGTCCAAATCGCCATCGTGTGTTGTGTATTTGGTGCGCCCGCTTCCGCCGCACTCTCTCTGCCGCGCCACCTTTTTCCCGCCCCGCGCCGCTGCCGACGAATTGACCCGATGGACGCCCGCCGGCACCCCCCCACCCCTTCCTACACCCGCGACCCCTCCGCAAACCCTAGCACGGGGAGCTTTGGCTTCGCCTCCGTCGGCGCTCCTCCAAGCACCGACATCGCGCGCGGCCTTTTCATGCCGCCACAAATGACCTCGGCGGTGGTTGGCGTCGCGCCGACGCCCGCCGTGAAGCCACGTGCCCCCCTCTTGAAGTTCTGAAATGCGGCGCGGCCGAAGAAGGGCAAGGTTTTCGCGAAGAAGAACAAGGCGGCGGACGGCTGCGGCTCCTCCAAGTCATCAAGGAAGAAGCTTGCAGGGCGTACGATGGACGCGACGGCTACTGAAGCGCCGGCGAGCTCACTTGTTGAGCCGGCGGCCGACGCGCACAAGGTGCTCGAGGAATGCCCCAAAGGTACAAAATTTCGCCAACTTTTTGGTGTTGTTATTTTTTGAATGCATACATATAGATAGATCATTTGCTTCGTTGTATATACTTTGTAGTTTCAACGATTAGGCATATATGTCAACTATGGGTGTTGGCTCCAACAATTCTCATTGGTCTCAAACCAATGACATGCATTTCGATGACCATGAGTTTGAGGTGGACGAGGATGGTGAGGGCATTGTCGACGTACCGAAAGGAAGAGGAGGCGACTACACCAATGATGAAGATGTATTGCTATGCAATACTTGGTTGCAAGTGTCGAGGGATCCATTCGTTGGAGGTGATCAAAGTAGAGATGCATATTGGAGCCGGATGAAGGAGCATTTTGATCTACACAACAAGAGTGGAATTGACCGCTCGGCACGATCTCTTCGCTCCCGGTGGTCGACAATCAACCAAGATTTTCAAAAGTGGGCGGCCGCACAAAAGGCGGTTGACAAGTTGAACCCAAGTGGCACTAATGATATAGATAGGGTAAGTGCCATTTCATCCATGTTCGTCATGCTTGTTCTTGGTGTTTGTAGTGCTAACTTGTTTTGTTTTTTTGTAGTTCAATATTGCACAAAACATGTTCAAAGGAGAGGAGAAGAAGAGCAAGAAAGGGAGACCATTTACCTTGCCTCATTGCTATGAGGAATTGAAGGATGATGAGAAATGGAAGAAGCGTGATGGCATCGATGATGTTGATGAGAGCAACAAACGCAAGCGAACAATTGAGTTGGATGATGATGAGGAGGAGGCATCAAGTGATGACGGCAAGAGAATCCCTACACCATACTCGGTTTCATACTCGAAGCCAAAACGGCCGGATGGGTGCAAGAAAGATGCAAAAGAAAATAAGAAGAGGAAATGGGATGATGAGCTCAAAATGCTATGGAAGCTATTGTGAAGGCAAGAAATGAAGCGAACGAGGTGAGGAAGATGGCAAAGAACCAAGATTCCGTGGCCGAGGAGAGGAGGTTGGTGGCCGTGGAGAGGAGGGTGGCGGCCGAGGAGAGGAAGGAGGGCATGGAGGAGAAATCTAGGTTGTTGGAATGGGAGAAGTACTTGTTCTTCTTGGACACATCTATCCTCAATGAGGCGCAAAAGGAGTATGTCAATCTTACCCGTGAAGAAGTCTTGATCCAAAAAAGAGTCATGATTCGCGGCATGGGTGGCGGTGGCATTGGCGGCATGGGTGGCGGTGGCATTGGCGGCATGGGAGGCATCGGTGGCATGGCGGTATGGGAGGCATTGGTGGCTTCGGAGCTACCATGGGCGGCATGGGTGCCTTTGGAGCTACAATGGAGACCATGCACTGGTAGAGTGACGTGCTACACAAACGGGTTTTAACCCCTTTCCACGACGGCGTTTGGAACTGTCGCCAAGTGAGTGTGGGCGATAGGGGGGTCCTTCCCACATGACCCAGAAACCGTCGGGGATAGGCCCTCCTGGCACACTGGCTGGGGCAAAATGAGTTCATGTGTGATCTGGCGGGGCATCGAAACCCAATTGTTTTCGTTCGTATGTACATCTCACACGGTGAATCCCAGAAAAACATTTCCGCTCGTATGTATATCACACACAGTTTTTTGTGTGGAAATGTTTGTGCAAGGTGGCCTAACGCAAACAGTTCTCTGCTGGAAGCCATGTGTGAATGTTAGTTGATCGAACACGCCTACTTTCTAGAAACTGCGTGTTGTTTGAGTTCATCGCCCACAGTGCTGTTTGAGTAACCGTATGCAATAGAAACCCCAATAAGCAGGGTAATTAGCCTATTATTGATAATCCATGTACTAAACAAATTGATATTTCTTATAAAAACACACCAGATATTTCATATCCGTATAACAGCAACCAGGATTTCATAATCGAATTACATCAGATAGCTTTGGCACTCAGTTCCGCCATTACACAACAGCACCAAGTTTCACATGCAATATCAAAACCCTTTGGAAAGTAGCATCGTACACGATAAATAGACAGATGAATCTCATCTAGGAAACTGTAGAAGCGTAAGGCAAATGTTGATACTTCAGTGATGTTGAATGTCCTTGCAACTTTAGGCCAGTGACTATGGATAATTGCCTGCCCAATCTTCATCCTCTTCAGCAAGACTTCAATATTGTACCGTGGGTGTTGAATAAATACCTTCCTCGCCTCTTGACCATGCAAGTGGTTTGAGAGGTAATCATCAGTGAACTGCTTTGAAAAGTACTGAAAACAAAGATATGCAAATAAGGTAAAAGAGTCAGTACCATCCTATAGTTGAATGATGGCGCAAGGGGTAAAAACAAGGTAAAAGAGTTAGTACCATCCTATAGTCGACTGATGTCTTCTTCATTGTGCAAACAAATATCTTGTTGTTATTCTTTGCAAGTTTCTTCATCCTGACAATCTCCGAGTTTCTTAACTTGACTGATATTCATGGACATCTAATTTCCCCATATGCAAAATGGGTCGAACAGTGGGTCTAAGCCTCTGATAGCAGGACCTACATGTGCACGACCAAAGTGTAAGAAACCTAAATATTAGAATGATTCCTGCAACTGCACAATAATGTGATATTAACCAAAGGACCATGCTTGAACAAACCTTGATGGTAAACCGCGGTGTCTCCCATTGTTTCCCTGCAACACACATAAAGAAGATCTTGATCAGGTTAACTGAGAGTTGTCATACTATCAGTAGAATATGTATTGACTACAGCCAAATTAGATTTATTCCACATGCGTAACAATACAAAATTGTACCCATAGCAAACAAAAATCAAATTGCAGAATGAACCAAACAGTTAAATGGATAGCAGACCAAATGAACCAAAATAGTTAACTAAGCACGACATTGCAGAATAGAAATATGTACTAGAAGATAAGATAGTTAACAAAACAAAGAAAGCTTGAGAACACTACTACAAAATGTAGCAATTGTTGGACCAAACTGTTAACTTGACATTACATTTCAGAGGACCAACGTGTTAACTGAACATTACATTTCAGAGGACCAAACTGTAAACTAAACATCAGATTGCATATTAACATTACAGAGGATCAATCACTAGAAGGCATTGGCGGTGGAGAAAACATCACAAACTGTATTTTAAAGTAGACAACCATGTGGTGGTGTCGACGGTGACCTCGAAGACGAGGTGCTCCTCCAAGATCTGGCGGTCGACACGATGGCAGCCATAGCAACGTTGTGCGCGCGTGCGGCCGCGATTTGCTTCTCTGCTGCCAGATGCTACTGAGCTCCACGTTATACTGTGTGCAAAATGGTTGTGGGCGGTGCTTAATTGAAGGAGGGGGACAGTGATTTCGGTGGAAGGTGTCGCGACATCAGTCGGGGCATGTGGGACGGGAAAGGAGGAGGATGGTGTGGGTGGGATGTGGATTACCTGACCATATCGACAAGGCCACATAGCAAGAAGAAGGGTCGGCGGCGAGGAGGTCGCGCAGCAAGAAGAAGGGTCATCGGCGAGGAGGCGGCGCTGCAAGAAGGGTCGCTGGCGAGTAGGCGGCGCTGCAAGAATAAGAGTAGCCGGCGAGGAGGCGGCGCTGCAATAAGAAGGGTCGCTGGCGAGGAGGCTGAGCTCCCAGTAAGTAGTAGTGAAGGTTTGAATTTGGAAAGCAAGGAGGAATAGTGGAAATGTGGCTTTTGGTGGGAGGGAGGGGGCAGGGAGATAGATATTTCTGCGGTGGCAAAAAAACGCTCGGTGCCTCGAGAAACTAGCGCCGAAGTGTGGTTCAAGCGGGGGCGGTGGACTGTAGACGACGAAGCTTCCTGCGTAAATCAGACAAAACAGTGCGCCAAGATATTTTATATCACATCCCACACGATTCTTTCTAGTAAACTGTTTGTGGTATACCTGATTTTTTCCATTATGTTTTGAAAGACAAAATGGTGTTACGGAGGGAAAGGATGGTGTTTGAATTGCTAGAACATTTATGTACAGTGAACATGCAACTACATGAGTGTCATGTTTAAATTTGGAATTATTCCGGGTTCGTTTGGCATTTTTATGGATTATTTGAGTTTCTCGGCATTTAATGTGCATAATTCAAATTTAAAATACAAGCACATGCTCCAGTGCCCCAAAGTTTGTTGAAAAATCACATGTGTGTCTTTGGGTGAATTTATAGGTCCCATGCAAGAAATGGGAATGAAATTCAAACATCTGGGCGTCGTGGCTCGGTCGGGAACATTGAGAAACTTGGTTTTTAAATTCCTAGAAATTCAAAACTCGCCTGAAAATCATGAAACTTGACATGGTGTCATCTCATGGCACCAACATGTTGTGGTAAAAAAATTGGCCGCATTTGGATAAGTTTTTGGTATAAGCTTCTTGCAAACCGGAGCTTCTCTCGAGAAGACTCGTGGTTCCTGAGGGGGGACGTGTCACCTTTGTGTTCGAAACGATATACGCTGCCTCCCCCCCCCCCCTTATTTTTTACAGAGGCAACATAGAACTATATGAGTGTCGTGTTAAAATTTGGAATTATTCCGGGTTCGTTTCGACTTTCTTATACGTTAATTGAATTTCTGGTCATTTAATATGCACAATTCAAATTTGAACTACAAGCAAATGCACCAAAGTTGGTTGAAAAAGCACATGTGTTTCCTTGGGTGAATTTCTAGGTCCCATGCAAGAAATGGGAATGAAATTCAAACATCTGGGCGTCGTGGCTCGGCCGTAAAGATTGAGAAACTTGGTTTTTTAATTGATGTAAATCCAAACACGCCTGAAAATCATGAAACTTGGCATGTGTCATGACATGGCACCAACATGCTGCTGTAATTTTTTTGGCCGAATTGGGACAAGCTTTGGTATAAGCTTCTTGGAAACCGGAGCTTTTCTCAAGAAGGCCCGTGGTTCCGAAAGGAACGTGTCACCTCCGTGTGCAAAACGACATACGTACACTGCCTTCTGCCACCTTAATTTTTTTTACACAGGCAGATTAGACCAAATAGAAGTATCGTGCTAAATTTTGGAATTATTCCGGGTTCGTTTAGCCTTTTTATACATTAATTGACTTCTGGTCATTTAATGTGCATAATTCAAATTTGACTAGAAGCACATGTTCTAGTGCCCAAAGTTGGTTAAAAAATCACATGTGTGTCCTTGGGTGAATTTCTAGGTCCCATGCAAGAAATGAGAATGAAATTCGAACATCTAGGCGTTGTGGCTTGACCGGAAAGATTGAGAAACTTGGTTTTTAAATTCATGTTAATCCAAAACACACATGAAAATCATGAAACTTGGCATAGTGTCATGACATGGCACCAACATGTTGTAGTAAATTTTTTGGCCGAATTGGGACAAGCTTTGGTATAAGCTTCTTGCAAACCGGAGCTTCCCTCAAGAAGGCTCGTGGTTCTGAGAGGGAACGTGTCACCTCCGTGTGCGAAATGACATACGTACACTGCCTTCTCCCGCCTTAAGTTTTTTACACGGGCAGATTTGACCAAATATAAGTATCATGCTAAATTTTGAAATTATTCCGGGATTGTTTGGACTTTTTTTTGAACTACAAGCACATGCTCGAGTGCACCAAAGTTGGTTGAAAAATCAGATGTGTGTTCTTGGGTGAATTTCTAGGTCCCATGCAAGAAATGGGAATGAAATTCAAACATCTAGACATCGTGGCTCGGCCGGA